AGACAAATTGTTCCAGTTAACTCCACAGGGTATCTTATTTCACCCACTCTGACCTCAGTCTGTCTCCAGAAATTATTCATTAGTCACTTGTCCTTTAATTTGTCTGCTTTTTTCGGCTCTACTGGCTCTGCGTGCTCTTGTTTCTACTGATTTCCACTTACAGACATCACGTAACTGCAGCACAAACTGAAAACATTACACAAGTGTCACTCAATACTCCCGTCGCTTTTGTCAATGAGAAAACAGCTGCCTCGACACTGAAATAGTACATAATATCTCCACTCATATATCTAATTCTGGTTGTACTGCAATCACGATTTGAAATACATAAAAGATAAAAACCTGTAATTTTTCTATTATTACATCACATTGTAATGCACACCATTACATCAGCCCTGGTCCTGACACACAATCTCTAGATTGAAGCTGAGGTTCAACTTCTGTTCCTGTTTGTCGTCTGCAGCCGTGTGTACACGAGTGTTCATGCCAACCAAACAGCACCGGGTTTGTTTGTGAGTTCACTCTGAACGTCTGCTAACCAGTGAAATCAGCTGATGTAGTATTTAAATGTGGCTCTAGACGGCATATTGTTGGACGCCATTCGTTTGTGCAGCATTGATCGGAAAACAAAACAATCAAATGATTCTACAAGCTTGGAGGCAAAGATTAGTGTGAATGAACTAAGGGCTTAAAGTAGTACAACTGTAATCTAGTATTTCACTTCCATAATGTTGGGAGGGTTGCGAGAGGGATATTTTATCAAAACTGATGCTGCAGAGGTCAAGATGTCCTCACTTTTATCTCCAGAACACCTGGATCCTACATTTCCCATAATGCAACTTAAAAGTTTCGTTTTTTTAGACCTTCGTGCCTGGTAAACACCCACATTTTTCAAACTCCAAAGCCCCAGTTTTGAGTATCCAAGGCTTATAGGCTTTGAAGTCACAAACTTGAGAGACTATGTTGATTTTTTATTTTTGTTTGTTTATTTTGTAATATTTGGGGCATTCTTGTCCTATTCAACCAGAGGGCTGTAATACAAAGTGAGGTAACTGGCTTATCCAGGTAACTTCAGGAGTAACTCTGTGATGTCAGGCGTAACTTCCAGGTTAACTCGTGCTACAAAAGGTGGATAAGTTTTACCCGAGGTATGTTGTCATGGTAATTTACGCTTCATGTCTAACCTTCTGCAAGCAGGTTGTCTTCATGGTTAACTCGATGTTACCCTATAAACCTCCTCTCTCTCATCCGCCCACATGCCAGCACATTTGGAAGACGTTGGCGCACACAGATTGTGAGAGGCTCACTGCGGAGGGCGAGGGTGTTTAGAGGCCGTCAAAATTTTATTTAATTTTGATTCTCATCTGAGGGAATTCAGTACCTGTGCCATCTTCTAGGGCCTGAATACATTTGTGTTTCCATTAAATAATTATAAAGATCAAAGAGGCTTTTTATGTGGTCGCAGGTGATTTACAATATAGAAATACTTTTTAATATACACAGACTGGGCCTATGTACAGAACACTTTATTTCCAGAAGGTGACTGGTCTGACTGACTGTACTCTTATTCTAACAGTACTGTAGAATTACATTCCCACAGGTGGCCCTTCAGCCTCAGGGCTTTAGGGAGACGATGTTAATTCAGGGCTTAAAGTTCTCAGGCACCATGTCTGATTTCAGGCAGTTTTAAATTCATATAATACTTAAATACACTGTATCCATTTCTTCCCAGATAACACAGGGTTACTTTCTTGTTTTAATCACTGTTAATTCATTAACAGGAATAAATGTTTGAGATATTTCTTTTGTTAATTTACCACTTTAATCCTGGAAATTTGCCATTGTCGTATTCAATCATATCACAAATAAAAGAGTCTGTAAGAGAAAAGTAGAGAACTTACAACATAAACACATGAACACAATGTTACTTATCAATTTACTCTGTTGAGTATGCGCTGCCAACATGCCTCCCTGTCTTTGTTGGCCCCTACTACAGTGAGATTAGGCCGTTAACTTTTTCCTTATATCCTGATATTATCATAGTATATTCCTCTGGCAACAAATACGGAGCACAAGCCATTATGAAAACCCTCTTCCTGGGCTTGCCGAACACGGTCCTTTTAAGCGAAAGCGCCCAACCTCCAATTAAGTTCACACCGACTCAACAAAGTAACATCTTATTCACCATCGTACTACTGTTTGATAACCCTGAGTTAAATCTAACTTCCACCGTAGTACTGCCCTCTGGGCAGCGACCATCAGGGTTATTTTTTTCTATTTTCTGTTTTCATGAGCTGGGTAGTTATTAAAAAATAATATCAGAAAATCTGGGAAGTGTCTCTTTAAACCTGCTACAAGAAGTTTTTAACTGTTTTTTAAACAGTATAAATGTAATACCGATGCCTCTTTATTGCCTACATAAACAAACAAGAGCATCAGTGAGAAAATAGCCTGTTTCTATATAGTTATTTTAAATCGCTGCCACCTGGTCAGATTCCCCTTGAAATCAATGAAGCGAGGGGGTGGAAATGCTACTGCTTTTGTCCACAGGGGCCACAAGAATCAACAAAAAATGTATGTTCCTTGTTGCTGCTCTAAAGGACCAGTGGTTAAGATTTAGTGACATCTAGTGGTGAAGTTGCAGATTGCAACCAACTGAACACTACTCGCCTCTATATTTGACAATCTGGCAATGAGAACGTGCTGTGAAGTGAGTAGGAGGAGAAGCTATGATGGCTGTGAAAACACGAAAGGCCCTGTCTACAGCTAGTGTTTGGTTTGGCTGTTCTGGGCTACTGTAGAAACATGGCGGCTCAACATGTTAACTCTATGGAAGCACTAATGAAAACATACCTACAAACATTATATTTCATTTCTGCCAACAGATGTAGAAATTAAAGTATTTTCATGGTTAAAGTTGCCATTTGTGTGTCTATTAATGCCATAATAAGTGGTCTGAGAGAAAGCGAAACCTCTGCAGTCTCTCTTGGCTCTGGGTCTTGGCGAGGCTCATGACGTTCAGAGCGAGCCCTGCGAGGCACAAGGTTTCACAGGGCCACCGACGCCTTCTGCTGCCGCTGGAATTTGTGGGTTTGGTGGAAGGGTCTTAACGGAGTGATACGAGACAGCAGAGATGGATGAAAGGTTTAACATGACTTGAATGCAGCGTCAGTTTATCACACAGATGAGGGTCTTGGCGAGCCACAAGGGTAACCAGCACAACACTACAGCGACTGATGTCACAGTTGCGTAGTTTGTGCTCCTCATCTCTGAGAGAGGGTCTCACACTTGTTGCCATGGGCTGTTTTTCACACAAGACCACTTGAGCCTCTGTTGTTCGGAGTAAACATACAATAAACCCAACACTACAGACGTAAATTGTGCCTTGCAGCTTTAAAGCATGAATACTGAAACTTACATAATACGCTCTTCTCTTTATTATGCATTTTGCTCAGTCAGCTCACACTGTAATGATTTCTATTGTCCTATTGTGTTTTGATTTATTGTAGAATTGGCATGTTTGCTATATTTACTTTTTTAACTGCACATTAATCACAGAAGCATTATAAAGTGTGCTGGATATGCATCATGGTGTTAACATGTTGAGTTCCCATGAGCCTCCTGTAGAAAGCGCATATAAGAATCATCTATAAACTTAAAGCTTTGTATTTGAAGTGTCTACACAAGGTATGTTACGAGACCTGGATTACAATAAACTAAGCAATATGTAATAATATAAATAAGATGCACCCTTGTTCAGTTTAATACACTGGATGGTTGCGCTGCTACAATCTTACTTGGTCTAAAATGACCAGTGGCTAATGTTGGCAAACTTTAGATATATATTGCCGTGTAAATTACATTAATTAAATGATTGCTGTTTGTGGACAGTTAGCTGCTGTTTTAGTTAAATAGCTTCACTTTAAAGGACCAGTGTGTAGGATTTAGTGACATCTAGCAGTGTAGTTGCAGATCTGATACCCTCCTCGCTTCACCCTCGCTTTCCAAGCGCAAAAGAGAAACTACAATGGATGTGAAATGTGTAAAAAAACAACACAAACACACTTATCTAGAGCCTGTGTTTGGTTTGTCCCTTCTGGGCTACTGTAGAAACATGGTGGTTTAACATGGCAGACTCCAAAGAAGATGACCCACAGCGTCTGTAGATATAAAACGGCTTATTCTAAAGTAACAAAAACAAAACAATTCTTATTTTCAGGAGATTATACACTGACGAAAACACACCTATAAATATTATATTCCATTTCTCCTAATATGTCCTCCTAAACATTACACATTGGGCCTTTAAAGGAACGGATTGACATTTTGGGAAATAGACTCAAGAAGATTGATTCCTCTCTCATGTCTCTGCAGTAAATATGAAGCTAGGACAAGCTACTTATTAGCTAAGCTTAGCACAAAGACTGGAAACATAGGGGAAACAGATATATAAAAAGAAGTTGTTTTAATTAGTGAGCTTTAGAAGTGCTGATCATGTGCAGGCAGATTGTTACTTTGGAACATTCAGTCTAGCTGTTTCCAGTCTTTATGCTAAGCTAAGTCAGCCGGCTACTGGCAGTAGCCCTATATTTAATGAACAGACATGAGAGGGATAGCTACTCATCTAACACATTTTAAGAAGTATTTTCCCAAATTATTATTATTATTAACAGTTATTTTTAAATATTAAGCTACAGCCAACATCTGGTTAGCTTAGCTTAACTTAGCATAAAGATGGACCAAAGGTAAAACTTTTATTTTTATTGTTAAATTGATTGAATTGATTAAAGCTTCCTATTTAGCCAATTATACAGATATGAAAGTAATATCAATTGCTCTAATAACTAAATCAATAAATCTAAATAATAATAATAAACGATACTACTTCTTTTAAGGGCATAATTAATTCTCAAAAGGGTTGTAGATTTACTTCCTGTCAATAAACCAACCAATTAATATTGTCAGTGACAAAATAAAAGGCCACAGTGTAATAAGTCAACAATTAATTTTTATTTTATCGAGTTTATACGATTTTGGTTCTGTAGCAACCTACTGTATAATTCTAATGAAGTGCAATTGTACTCAAGCCAGTTACAGTTGAGAGCAATGACAGGCACACGTTTTGTGCAAATTTAACAGCATTGGAACGGCTCCTACATATACACAGCAAAAATACATGCCAGAGGAAAACAATACTAAATCAGTTTACATTGACAATAGTTAGGAAGACTTCCATGTCTATCCAAGCTAACACTTCAGAGATACACATTTCACCCATTGATGGATTATGGGAGAGAAAAACTGAGTTAGAGTTCAGTCTTTGCTCACAGCGAGAAATGTGTGGTGTTATCCAACTCCATGGACTAAAAGTCCTCCAATCTGCCCTCCCAAAGAACACATTTCATTAGAATTGCGCATTGCCATTTAAAAAACTAATTATACTGACATGACAAAATGAAAACCCCAAATCAGTGTGCCGGACAAGAGATACACCTGTTTGCAGTTGCTTTAAGAAGTCCCAACTCCAAATGCTTTGTGTTTCCTGCGTGTCTGACAGTACACTGGCAATGCAAAAATAAAGGGTTGGGGGTAATGCAACTTGAAGGTATCACAAGCCACACAAGACGACACAACCATCTGAAACACAGGGGTGTTGGTAGCCTTGGTAGAGTTGACTGCGGGTGTATTTATCTAAGTCACCTTCCTATTCCTAACGCTGATTTATAGCAATTACTGGGACAAGACACACATCGGCTCAGTCAAATATCTACATATTCAAAAGTCAAAGTAAAATAAATGATTTAGCTTCGCGATGAGCTTTTGTTTGTCTGATGAGCGTTAAAGAAACTGTGGTTATTATCCTCCAAACATGCAGAAACACAGGATTATAAGACTGAAATCTAGATAGGTGAGTCGGGAGATTTTGGTAACCAGTCTGCAGTGTTATTTCTCAGACATTACAGGCTAAGGTCTGCGTATGTGAGCTTTATTTGCTCTATCATCCCTCACAGTGAAAATTGACAAACTAAACATCCCTGGAAATGCTCGCACTGGCTTGTGTTGGTTCCAAAATGTCAAGTGTGTTGGATGTTGTGACATCTTTTTTTTTTTTCTGAAAGCAGCTGCTAAAATATCACATCTGTTGGGAATTTTATTTCAAATCCAAATCGAAAACATTTTATACTTGCATCTACAGACAACACAATCCCTTTAAACTAGGAAAATAACAGTAATAAAGTGAACTCATGCTGTATGTTCTCCTGGAGACCAAAGGAGGCCGTGAAAGTTACTCACTCGACTATTCTGCCCCATTACCTAACTTCTTTTCATGATCGCACGTTAAAATCTTGACAATGAATTGTTAAACTGGTGCACACATGATTTTACCATCTAAACCGACAGATGGAGTCTCATAACAGGGTCTGGCAATGCCACTTGTGAAGGAAAGCAGATGCACCACTACATTCTACAGCTTTCCTTTATTATACAATCAAGGGCCAAGTTGAAATCTTTTACAACTTAGAATTTAACAGCATCAACAAAAACTACTTCAGTTGCATTCAAATGGCAACTATCGAAAAGTAAACTTACTGTAACATACATATTAAATAGTGTATAGTCCATGCAATTGCGCACGGCCGGTTTTGCATCGTTATGGTATGTCGTTATTAGTGTATGGGAGACATCAGCCGCCAGTGCATTTCCGATTGAGGTTCAGGGAGAAAAACTCCTCAACACCCATCAGAAACTCCTCAGCCAGACTTGAAGAGCAAGATGGCCACTTGGCCCAAGTAGAAGTAAATGAAATGCTTTGTCTCGTGGGTAACGTAGCTGCCGAAGTTCCTCCCGACGATGCAGTGCCAGGTGGGGTTGTACTTCTTGTCAAACTCCTGAAAAAGAAGACGATTATTGAACACAAAATCAAAATACAGGAAAAAAACCAAGAACGTAGCTGCAATCGAGGATATTTTGGTAACATCTGCAGCTAACTTTTATTTTCATTCAGAAATCAATCTGCCTATGATTTTCTCAATGAATCAATAATTTCTGGTATGGTCAGAAAATAGTGCAAAAAATTTCTCAGAGCCCAAAGTTAAATCCTCTGCTCGATTTAATTGATCAACTGCCTAAAACCCAAAGATATTAAGTTAATATCATCTGTGACCAAAAAAAAGAAGGATAAAATATCCACATTTAGAGGCTTAAATCAGCTAATGTTTGATACTTTTGATTTTTTAACTACTTTTAGGCCAATAATAATACAAAACTTGACTGATTCCAGGAAAAGAAAACCTGCAAAAATAACGTGTATGGCCATTGTTTAATAATGTTCTCTGATTAAACAGTTTTTTTTTATTTTTAAAAACATATATAACTTTTTCGCTGTTTTTTTAATCTGTTCTATTGTTTTTATCATTTCTATTGTTTGTTTATATTTGTGCACATTTGTCTCATATTGTTTACATTTGTACTGCCTTATTAGCCTTGAATAGCACTAAGCCTGTATGAAAGGTGCCAGAAAGCGTTTTGATTTATTGATTTATACAAGACTGATTTATAAAAATCCAAATACTCTTTGGTCACAATGTTAGTGCGCACAGTGCGTTAGGAGGGGATGATGAGGAGGTGAGGAA